TCTACCTGTGTCTGAAATAGTCTCTCCACTGCGATTCTACTCAACGTTATCTAATGTTCCTTTATCTTACGTAAACTCGCATTTTATACCCTATTCACACCAGCAAAACACGTTTTGTTAAATTGACTTTTACCGAATGAAAATCACAAAGAGAGAACTGGAAAAATTTAATTTTGCGTAGGATTCAAGTACTTGCTAACTTGCATTTCCAATGTGCTATATTTTAAGTAGGAAATATTAGGTAAAGATGGCCCTACTAGTATAACAAAACAACTTTAAAACATGTTTAAGCTTTGGTGTGAATGGGGTATTAGAGAAAATTGGCAGTTTATATCATTTGTAAGAGAGCTCCCTTAATTCGCTTTTCCGACGCCCCTTTCCATCCATGCACTGGGAAATGACACACCATTCGTTTTAAAGAAAGTTACTGCTGACTTGATTGATCACCCAACTTATTACAAGAAAACAAAATTTACCGCTCTGAATTTAACCCCTCGCAGTGCTGCGTCATTTTCTTTACAAACTTGCCCTCTCAGTACCTTAATCATGCTTGCTATTATGGGCGTGAGGAACAAGTAGAACTTTTCCATGAAGAAGGCCGTGTCACATTTTCGTGTTGTGGGACACTTCGTCAAAAAGAAAACAGAAAGTTTAGCTTTTTGATAACTGATCCCTACTTTATTACTTACAGAGCTTTATTACTTACAGAGAGACAAAAAAAAGTTGTCCTCACATGGCTTTGGCCTGAGGTGGCCTAGTAAAATTGCAGAGAAGAAATACTGAAAGCAATGTGACAGGTTTACATTCACCGAAAAAGCACAACGGTTAACCACTAACAAGGCGTGTAAAGAGCGTTGTCAATTGGGTTCCGTGACTATTGTGAAGGTAGTGTTCACGAAGGCTTGATATCACAAGTACTTTCATTATTCGATTGAAAATTGTTCAATGGACAAACTTTGCAAGTTTATCGTAATAGAATGAGAGCTCTAAATCTCTTTATCGTGAGAAAAGCGAATATATGTTGTGCAATGTACAGGATTCAATGATTTTGTTATTACTTGGGGAGGGGAGAGGTTTAACCCTTTCTTTTTTTCTTTCATTGCGATAGCACGCTTGTTTCCTGTATTTCATTAAGTTTTATTTGCCACTGTTACTGATTGTTGTTTAGCTTGCCTTTGTATGCCTCGGCTATAATAGCAACAAAGAACCTGAGTAACGCTTTGTACAGCCTAAAATTTTCCGCTCAATTTTCCGGTTTGTTTTTCGCAATCTCCATCCTCAGCCAACGTTATTTCGTAATAGTCTGCCCATAAGCTCTTTTGAGTATTTCCATCCGACAGAACTAACACTTGATAGTCTCCTGCTAGCTGAAGGTAGTTTGGCACATTATAAATAATGACATACGCACGAAACTCCTTTAAAAGGTCCTCGAAAGGAGATTAATAAATACAACGATATTAAGACACCGAAGGCGAAACTCTTGATAATAGTTAACGTTACCTAGATCTCCTGCTGGGAGAAAAGTGGAAGATACACTTTCTACCGACAACTTGAGTAAATGCTGCAATCACATTAGAATAAACATTGCATCGATCATGTCGATGGAAAGAATAAATGAAAGCTTTGGTACTGTGATTTCCTGTAAACGCTATCCAATCTTGGCGGGATATATCAGTAAATTTACAACGAAAGAGATGGACATCTCTCTCGACAAATCTTACCATTAAAAACGACAAAGTATTGTAAAATTGATGCCTGCCATTTAGTTTACATTTGAATACTCTTGAAAAGTAAAAAGAAAACAGAAAAAAACGAATCAAGCTTTTCGACAAGACATATGCATGACTTGGTAAATAGGTCTAATACCTATTATACAGTTAATGCATCATTTACGATTCTGCCACACAATGCCTCATAAAAGAGTCTTTCAAGAAACTATTAAAAGGAACTGAAGCACGCAACCCATTGGAAAAGAAAACACTTATGGTTTTCTATGTTTTTTAATTATGGGTTTCAACCCGTCGTAACTCAACAATGTCGGTCCAAAATAAGCAGATGGGTATTCTTTCTAGATTCCTCAAGGCTGCTTTAAAAACTGTTCAGACACCGCTTAAATTTCTGTCTCCATGTGAAATTACGTCACCCACCGTGAAACAGTAGTTGACCACTGAGAGATATAGAGACACCTGGTCAGGTGTGGCTATGAATGCAGTATGAAGCGAAAGGGAATTCTGGCCTTGGCCCCCATGCGCCAGTCAATGTCTTCTATTTCTATTGTTACGTGTATTTTTGGCCATTACTCCAAATTTCGCCTTTTAAATAATGCGGTGTATTCAATAAATGTCGGCATTTAATCACAACACAAGAGGAATCGGTTGAAGGCGTGTAATGTTCCGGTAAATCTATTTTCTTTGTGGTGAACCGACTACAGTATTTTTTCCGTTGCGGTCTATGTGAACTTTAATTACTAAAAATAGAAATTTAACTCTGCACGGATCCGTGATTTCCATAAAATGAGGAGATTTGAAAAACAACACTTAAGAGCGTGACTGAAAATGAAGCAAGTTAATGGTTTCATAAAAAGGAAAGGAACCTCGAGATTCGTCGAGACAGTGAAGTCTACAAGTTTATTAGACAAACATTCGGCTTTGTTTTCCTAATTTTTAACATAAGTATTATTTCTTTTGTTTTCTCTTTTCAATTCTGAGACTCCTGATGGCAAACTTCGGTAACTTTACATAAAAGTCGTTGCGTTATTTTTTTTTTTTTAAAAGGATGGTCGTGGGTCATGTTTGTTTTGAAGTTTAGCATAGATTTAGGTCTAAGAGAAAAAGCATATTTTACGATGAATGCAAACAATAAACACAGCAAATCAAGACACGTGTGTATTATCAGTCACGACATGCCTGTCATGTATGATCGATTAGAAATCAAAAACAAAAAACACAATTCAGGATCCACCGTCCCTTGTGTTTTACATAATGGTCGAAGAGTTTAAAATGTCGTTGATTTTCACAACTGTTGACACTCATTAACCTTGAGAAAGATTAAAGGGATTTCCCAAAGAAAGGTTCGGCTGTGAAATGGCGCCGGCACAAAACTCAACCTCACTTGTTTATTTTGTAGCTCGGATCTAAACATCCCTGTGAGACTAATTCCTTTCAACGACTAAATTGCCTGCCGTAATCGAGAGGAAATTGTATCACAAAATTGATGAGGCTGTACAAGGAATAACGCATATGAACAGGTGAACGAACCTTTATTCAACTGGATATTTTGCGCAACAAAAGTTGCAGTGCAAGGCATTAAAAAAGGAAAAACGTCATTTCCCAACCGCAAATCAATCAGACACGTTGAAGTGTCATTTGGTTGGTGTTTGACCAGGCTTAGACAGGTCCTTCACCATTAGACAAGGGATTAGCGATGTAAGTAATCCCCAACACCACTGTGCTCCCGCCGAGATTCTGTCGTCGTAATCAAACAGATGAACGATTAAACGCGAAAAAACTCTTTTAAGTTTCTCGCACCTGTCGCTCTTTTTCCCAAAGAAAGTATTTTGCTTCGTCTATGTTTAGAAAAGGGATAACAGCTTCCGTGCATCGATTGTGAGTAATGGTAAGCATCAATAACTAAGAGCTCTTTACGGATTTATCTGATCGGTAATGGGATTAATACTCGTGCATTTTGATCTGTGTCATCACACCAAAACCTAAGAAAGCTCACCAAATTTCACCACTAAAACCCAGCTCAAGTGAAGCAATTAAAAACAAACCCACAATACCATACAAATTGGCTTTACCTTTCTCGCATAAAGCTCTCTATGTTTATATACAATTTGCGATTTTTTGATAAATGGAAAGACCCTAAAAATTTCATAGGTCTTTGTAACCTCAGCATTACCGGAAATGGAAAGTCTGGCCAGAGAGAAAAATGTCCGGAAGTATTAAAATTTAGTGAACGGGAAAAGACGGACAGATGGCTAGCAGATTGGGCAAACTTGTATTTACACAAGCAGTTTTAGTGCGTTAATATCTTCATTTGGCATAAAACGCAATAAAATCTTGACCCCAGGTAATGAGAATTGACAGAGCTTTCAAAAACTTTTCGGACTTAGTTGTTGCGGTCTTAATTTCTAAGGCGGATTCCATATTTTGATTTCCGAACACTACGAATAATTCAATAGACTGGGCGAGCAGATTGCTTATTAAATCAAACTTTCTCGTTAAACTGTTGTTTTTTTTATTAAATCAATTTTGAGGACGAAAACTGCAGGCTTAAAGTACTTAAATGGTTATCACGACCTCAGGAAGATATTTGAGATTGATTTCGTTGTTAGCCCAAAACAAACATTTCCCACAGCGACTGAAGATACGTCGAGTGGGTACTGAATTGACGCGGTTTCTGTTCGGAAACGCGTTCAACATACCTTCCAAATAGTTTACATTCAACGAAAATTGCGGGTTCGTCTTGATTGAATGTTGAACACATCTTTCGTGACACACGAGATAAGATCTTAATGAGGGCGGGGCGCACCAATTAGTCACTTTAACGTGCCTGTCAGCACTTTCTCGGAAGCCTTGCATGAGTATCGAAATAAATAAGACGGGCACGAAAAAAGGGATTCCATTAAAAAACAAAGCATTGAAAAGAAAATAAGACTATAACAACAGACGGGAATCTTAAAAACTATTAAGGTATAGTTAATCACCGAATAAAATAAATAGCCCGTGGAAATGAAAAGCGATCGATATCTCGTTATCTCGCGACCCTGATCCGCTTAAGTCCAGTTTGGGATTTACAGTACAAACCAGAGAGCTCCTTAGAGAGACATAACGAAGAATAGCAGGAAGATAATTGATGATCTTATATAGCTGAATTATAAGATGACCTAAGGTGAGGTAGAATAAAGGTTTAACGCCCCCTAGAACGCTTGTCAATGAATCCAATACACCACATACCCGTGCGTAAGAGCTGCCACCACTGCGATACGACGCGGTGTGGTTACCCCTTAAAAGAAGCAAAAGCACTAAATTGAGTCTAATTCACACTAATGGATTTTAGAGAGTCTGTTGATGTGTTTTGCATTGGACTGAAATATTCTAGGGTAATCTCCGAACGTCAACAAAAGCGAGTCTGACCACAGCAGTCGACAACGACAACTGACGCCTACGGGATCAGTGTCGGAGCATGCGTGTGAAAAGCCTGTTCGATGAATGATTGGCCCGTAAAGCTGCTTCGAAAACAAATTATGCAAGGACCAATCGATTGATAATGCAAGCATCAAGCTGTGATTGAACTCAAAAACACAGATGCAGACGGCCCAGTCAACAGCGTTGGGGCAAATAATCATTTACCATCAATCTAGTCTGGATAGTCTCGTCAAAGAAACCACCACAATCTCGGAAGCAAAATATTTTACGAGGTATAGGGAAACAGCAAATTCTTACCCGACATTGATGTTATGGACAATCTTTCGATGTTTAGTCAGAGCGCTTCTGTTGGCCATCCGACCGTAGCTGACTTCATCGAGCCCGGTAAAGATTCTCCATATGTTGGCAATTCGTTCATGGAGCCCAGCCACGGTATGCTCGCGCGAACAGCCTTCAGCTTGGCTCATAGAATTCCCGAACCTATCGCCGACACCAAGGCAGTGTTTAGCTCTCAAACCACCGGCTATCCATTTACCCCACACACCAGTCAAGTAAGAGCTGCGTGTGCCGCTCAAAATCTGAGTAACAGAGATTACCCGATTCATCGTCAAGACCATCTGCCCGGTTCTAGCTCTTTAGCTCACGGTCCCCACGGACATCCTCTCTACGATCCTGTAGCACCGGGAACGGGTAGATTTCCTCAATGCCAAGGTCCTTCGATACATTCCAATTTCAGCCCTCTGGCACTGCATCAGGCAAGACCAGACGTTAAACGACACAACTTCTATCCAACAATGAACGGTCCGCCAGATCCTGAGACTTCTCAAAGGCCAGCCTTCGCTTTTCCACCGCCAGGCGACATGTACTCGCGAGTAGACATGTACTCGCAGTCACCGTACAGTTACGACCATCACCGCCCTCTCAATTATGCTCAGGTTCACTTCACTCAATTCATGAGCCAGCCACCTAACAAAATCATGACTTGTGAATGGATTGATCCTCAAAACTACCCCAAGAACAAGATCTGTGGCAAGCAATACACCAGTATCCATGAAATAGTAAGGCATATTAATGACGAACATGTTAGCCAAAACGACTCTCCACTACATGTTTGCTTTTGGAGAAACTGTGGACGTAACGGACTTCCGTTTAAAGCTAAGTACAAGCTGGTAAACCACATCAGAGTGCATACGGGAGAAAAGCCATTCCCTTGTCCTTTCCCTGGATGTGGCAAGCTTTTCGCAAGGTCTGAGAATTTGAAAATTCACAAACGAACTCATACTGGCGAAAAGCCTTTTGTATGCGAGTTCCCCGGGTGCGATCGCCGTTTCGCCAACTCAAGCGATAGGAAAAAGCACTCCCATGTCCATACGTCAGATAAGCCATACAACTGTAAATATCAAGGCTGCAACAAAAGCTACACACATCCAAGCTCTCTTCGTAAACACATGAAGTTGCACGGAATATCGCCTTCACCGCCGCCATTAATCGACTCAAGCGGACAAGACAGGAGTCATTTAAGTACCCCCTCACCGTCGGAACACATTCGTCTCTCGATCAGTTCGTCAAATAGCCAAAGCTGCTCGAGTTCACAAAGCGAACGTGAAGTCAACACCAACTGGTACTCGTGTTAGAGGTGGAAGAAAAAAGAGACAACTTATACACAACAACTTCCCTCAAGGTCAGTCCTGTTGTCAGTAAACCACAATGAGACAAACAAAGCGGTTACATTTTAAGGCCACGGTCGATCTCGACAAAGTAACGGACATTCTGTATGTAGAATAATGAGTTGTAGGTTTGATATTGTAGCTCTGTTAGAGATTCTATCAATAGTAGGCGTCATGGCTTGAATACATGACAATAATAATGTACCGATTGAGAATATCCATATGACTTAAGTTCCTGTGGTGTAGAGTGAGTTAAGCTACCTCAGTTAGCTGTGATTCGGCTAACTACAGGAATCATCGCAAAACAAAATTATCTGAAAGTCATTCAGATATGGGAACTTTCTTTAGGTGGGGCAAAAATTGAAACAAAAAAACGATCATTCATGTTTGTTCGTTCCTTTAATTATGACCGTTAAACGTTTTGTAAGGGACGTCAAAATTATTCACCTAATATTCTAATCTGTTTTTGCAAATGTAGCTCCTCTTCAAGAATGACTAGTTTTTGCTTTGTTTTTCTTCTATGTGTAAAAAAGGAAGGATAATAATTAAAATCCACCATTGTTTTCAATGCGACATACAGATGCTCAAAGACAAACCAATACTTTTAACTTACGCTAAATTAATATACCAAAACTACTTGCAGTCAACCTTCAACTATACAGAGATCCAAGAAATTATTGCACTCGCTACTCAATGTTTCTTTACCAAAGTGTATGCTCAGAAAAAGCAGTGCTTGCTCTAGAAGATCAGCATGCACCCATGCGAACTGGCAAACTCTACCCGCTTCCTCAACACAAAATTTTTTGTACTTAACGGAGCAATGTTTCCAGTTTTTCTTTCAGTGGAACTTATGTGGTTAAACACGACATTTTGTTTCTTAGGGTTCGTTTTTAATTAAGCAACGAGAGCCTTTCGCTGATTTATTTCATTCGCTATTCTATTCCAGTCTTATTCTCTGATGCTAACTTATCAATGTATCGATACATTGTCAACTTTAACTCCGTTTGTTAAACTTTACTACACTATTTGCTCTTCTCAAAACACTGTTAGCTGCAGAACAAACTGTTAAGGAAATTAGAACTACTGATAAAAAAAAAAAGACAAATAAAACAATTGTGAATGGAGCCGTGGGATAGTGTGTCAACCTCACTTGAAGCGATCCATCACGGATTTAAAGAATTACAGTCGTGTGGGAGAAAGTGTGATGGTAAGCCACCAATATGTTTTCCTCAGAGGAATATAACGAATATTTTGTTATTTTTGTGTGTCTGTGTGTGTTCACAAGACGCTAAGCGTTGTCCTTGTGAGTAAGAAAAATACATCTAGCACATTGAACAGGGAGGTCGAACTCAATAGGAACGGAAATTCCCTACGCGCTCCATTGATTGAAACAAAGGCTCTTCATTTTCAACTTTTGTTCGGTTAAAACTAGGATTATAAAATACCTGAATCCCTAAACATTATAGATTACAGCTTAAATGGATGTTTGATTTCGGTATATTTTTGACTGAACTTGTTATCAAGTTAGATAACTTGTTAGTTTCTTTGAAATGAGGTCGGATCACAACGCCCGGCTCTGTTATGTGTAGGTGGGGTCAATTCAAAGCCTGCCGCATAGAATTCATCGCTAACTCCTTAGCAATTCAGTCGGAAAAACGACGCTATGTTTTCCCACTGACAAGCACACGTTGCTATGCAAGATAACAGGTTACCTCTTGAATGACCAAATCGATCAAACCATTTGATTTATTGTCAAACGACTAGGCACATTCAACCTCCTGAAACTGTCATTGGACGTAGCACATTCAGAAACTTCTCGTCTCGCAAATCACGTTGAGAAACCTAAAAGTAATTTAAAGATTTTTATCTCTCAAATAGGGCACGCACTGATACGAAAAAACTATTTAATGACTGTGATGATAATCATCTCTAGGCCTAAGGCCGCAAAATCTCGTGGAGACTGTCAACTCGAGTGCCTTGTTTGGGTACTTCTAAACATCCTTGATCTCCCTTCTTGTGATTCTCGTCCAACGTTCGTAAGGAAGCAGTTATCCACGTAATCCAAAGTCAAACTGAAGGACCATTATAACCAAACGTTCGAAGCTCGAAAGACACAGCAGTATTTTTTAGAGGTCAGTATGTACAATAAAATAGTTCGGACTGCTATCGGACTGCTTCCTTCAACAACAGGCAGAATAATGCTCTATGCAGATTGGTAATTTGAGGGGCTACAATGAACGCCCTGCCTTTCCTTTAGACCGGTTTAAAGAGGAAACCCTTCTTTTTACAATCACAAACACTACTCTCCTAAAATAACGGGCTAACAGACGTTATGATAAGCTTTACAACTACGCCGCGACTTTCTTTTGCCGCATGGAGCCAGACAGGTTTTGTTTTCTTTTTTCCCAAGACGTAATGTTTGGCACTTACCAAGTATGTGCGTACGCTAAGCTAAGGGCAAAACTCATTCCGGTAACGATTTGGATCTGAACTGGTGACTTGTTTTCTGAGAACTATTCTATAAAATAACACGAGAGGGACACGTAAGAGTTAACATCTTAGACCAGACAGGCTGTTTTTTTCGAAGATCATAGCAGTACAACTACGTTTAAAAAACGATCGCATTTCTACTTCATACGAAGTGTCAACACACAATTTTGGAGTTAAAGCCTTAGTCTTTTATAAAACTGAATATTTTTAGAATTTTTTAGCGTACTAATGAACGCTTTCTCGTTTGATACCACTGACAGTGACAACATTCGCTCAACAGTTCACGGTGGGAATTTATTAAGCACATTCTCAAACCAGCAGTTTTTTGCATTGTCTTTTCCCTTTGACTTTACCGTTTTCTTTGTACAGAAGGACAAATCTCACAGCGTTGGCTTAAAAAGAGCATGTGACTTATTGTCCTGTAGATGAATGCAAAACGGAAGGCAAGGTTTGTTAGAATAATCCCTTTTTTTGGATCTGTCGTTTGCGGTCAAATGAATTTTTAATATGCCCAACGCCTCTTGAAGGAACGCCATGATACAAACTTAATCACTTCATTTCCGAGAGGAATTACATCTCGAACACTAAGATCTGTACACCGATTTTATTGTTGTAGCTTACCAGAATACAACCAGCGAGAAGTGCGCGCAAATTTAAGAAAGCTTGCTTCGTGTACTCGCCGTTTAAATCGCCGCAGGATTTCAAGTGTCTCACAGAAAGATGGAATATAAATACAGGAAGCGGTTGACAATTGAGGCACGATCCAGCCTGCGACTAAACAGAGCTTCCTTCTAAGAGGATTAGTCCCTTTATTTTAAGAAACTTATTTTGATCCGATTTCTAGACCTTTATAACATTACTGATATACATGTTGGAGAAAAAACTATATATCACTCTCTATCTGTTCTCGAAAAAAAAAAAATGAACTTTCTAATTCCAATGCCGTCAACGCCGCAGGTTAGGATTGCATCTTGGCCTTCACAACGATTCAGATGTCTTTGATTCAATTTTCAGACATGGCCCTGGCTTTACACGTGAAGTTGTTCTTTTTAATTTCAATCATAAAGGCAAAAGCACGAAAGAAGGAATGAAAAGGCCACCGGGATATGCTACAAAATAACTCTCTTTGCGCTTATTAGACTTAAACTTGAAACAAATTTAGTTTGACCTGGTTAAGAAGAAATTATGGCTGCCCTTTTCATCCGTATTATAACGCTATTGCTAAAAGGATGGCAATCAGAAACGTTTTAATCCGACCATGTGAAAATAATTACTCTCAAGGCAACAACACCCTTTATTAGGAAACTAACATGCAACCCTTTCAAAGCTATGAAATTCTCCATCAAGTTTCAAAGTGGTTATTTTTCCTTAGTGAGTTTTCTATTTTGGGTCTTACTAAGTGGATAAACTGTCTGGGTCTTTGCAAGACAAGTGCTGGGGGTTTGTCATCATGTGGCTTGACGGCCTCGTTGAACCACGAGAAAGAGCAGAGTACAATAAAGAACTTTCAAACTAAAAGGTTTCATCGGTTTGGGCCACTTTTAATTGCAATTGATAAACCTCTGAGCAGAAAATACTGATAAGAGAATCGCTAAAAGTGGTTGAACATGATGGCGAATGATTCCGTGAGTTAAATTTAAATCCTGTGTAGAAAGAAAAGGCGCGAGGAACGAGAGAAACGATTGTTATTTTCGCCTGCGCGGCTGTTTGTGGCCTTTAGCTTTTTTCCGATTTGAATTCACGGAACGCCGTTTGAAAAGGAACAATGGCAAATTGTCGACCCTTCCAAGTGGCTTATAATAGAAATCACAGCATGTAGTAACGGGCTAAATGCAAAACCGTGTTGTTTAGACGTAATTTCAATCCATGGCCTTTGGACCTTAGCCGCTTTGTGAAGGTATCGAGATTAAACAACTCGAGCGAAACAAAGGAAGTGGGAGATGATTTTTAATTAATTTTTGTAAAAGAGGTTATGCTTGAGGGAAGAGTGTTGTAAACCTTTCCCACAACAAAACAACATGTCGACGATTTTCAAAACGTGAAGTGCAACAAAGCTGATAAAATCATTTGGCTAGGAAAAAAAATGGGCTCTGTTGAACGGTTTCTTGTATTTTTCGTGATAGCGCAAGCAGAGTTGCAGTTAACCAGCCTACGCATTCGTGATCCATCGTTTCACAACCCTTTGAACTTATTTCCTATGAGGGGAAATTAGCCCCTTAAAGATCCATCCTGAACTGTCTCATTAATCGAATCATGCCTGGAGAGGTCCTCTAACCTAATTACTGACCATACTTTGATACATCTTTTTTAGTGAGACAATGGTGAAAGAAATAAAACTATTATTTCGTATTTCTGATCATACAACCAACGTCATCACAAGTTTTCTATTGTGCGATCTACAAATATCATTATAGAAAGGAAGCGGCCACTAACGCTTTGGTAAAATGTACCCTTGGAAAATAATGCCACTTTTGACGAAGAACCTCTTCTAAACAAGGAAATATACTTCTTTTTTTTTTTTTCCCAGTCAAGAGGAAATAGATTTCGTGGTTTACATACATATATAACCTCGCTAACTCGGTGCTCTCGAGTTCGAGATAACCGATGATGTAAGTCTGACCATATTGTTTGAGTGTAAAAGCCTTAAGAACTACAATAATCTATGAATGCTTTCTAATTTACAAGGATTAATTTAACTAGGTTATTTATATTTTTTTTAGTCCTTGATTGTTTAAATGCATCTGCTCTCGGCTTCGTTTCAACTCAAAGCCGTTGTACCTCGCGATTGTTTACGCGAGACAATGACTACAAGCTGCTACCCAAAGGCCATTTCGACTCTGACCATGATGTAACAAACATCCATGGAATAATGACTGTAATAACCAATCGATCGTTAATTCTTCATCATCATTAAGTGTAAATAAATTGGATAGTGGTGAACTAGAATGAAGAAAACTCCGTCCCAAGCCCATTTTTTCGCCGTAAACTGTCCAATAAGAAGCGAGCTTAACCAAGTCTGATCATAAATGATCCACACTTCCGTAGTTCTCGGTTTGAAGGCAAGAATATTTCAAGGTTTTGTATTTCAACTGGGTCCAGAAGAGATTTTATAAGAAGGAAGATAAAATCAAATAGAGAGGTTTGCTTCAAGCTGATACCTCCTGAAAACTGAACAGGAATTAAATCCATCCAGAAGTATAGTAAAAAACATTGAAAAAATCTACGAAATCCTCAATTCAGAGTCCGTATTCAACTTTAGATACGGGAACTGAAGACCTAAACTTGGCTATATTATTATCAGAAACTTTCTCTATGGTGATCATATTTTTTGGAGTATGGGCTAAACTGCACGTCATACTACTGTCAAAGGATATAAGACATAAGAAACACTTTGAAAGTAGATCAGTAACCAGTGATTTTTGAAGCAATTTTCTTACTTCTCCTGAACGTTTTTAAATTCTCTTTAAATCTGAGAGTCCGATGGTAAAACAGGTCAGACGTGCCATTCAACCGGCGGCGAGAGCTCTCAGTATCTCTCATTTTCAAAGGCTTTATGCTAATGCACGATAGTGATAATAACTTACAGGATTAAGTTACGATACAAACATCGGAGCATAAGGTAAC